CGCACGGTCTCCTGGCCAGACACCGCCCCCCCACCTCCGTATCCTGGGGTCCTGGGAGCGCTGTTCCCCATTAATGACATAACGAACCCCTGCTCCCCGCAGCCTCAGGCCTTTACGCAGCAGATAAACCGAACTCCAGCCTGAAATTGAGGGTCCACGGCAGGAAAAAAGATGCGAGCGTCCTTCGTAAGTGTGGGGCGGCGTGGGCTGGGGCGGGGCCTGTTTCAGAGGGGACTCATGGTCCTGGAGCCTGAGTTATTACTGATGGGAAGGATCCTGGAGGACGTGGGGCCACACCTCTAGGAGCCGCGGGCCATCAAGTGTCAGCTGTATGTAAGCCAGCACCTGATCGTCTCGTGCTTGCTTTTCTTGCACAGGCACCTGTCTGGAGCAAGTCCCAGGGAAGGCAGGACCTACGGAGGAGGGAGGCAGGGAGTGGTGACTGGCTCCACAAGTGAGACCAGAACACCTGGCCTTGGGTCTGACCTCTGGTCTCAGCTGACACACCCCGTGACCAGCCCTGCCCAATTTCCAGGCTTTCACTTTTCCTTTTTCTAATCTGATATGGTTCAGAAATCATAAAGGGGCTTACCAAATGCTTCCATTCACCAGCTTTTGAAGTAGACCCACCTGGGATTGTGTTCCCACCCAGCCCTTGGCTGTGACATACGTGTGCCAAGTGCTGTTCTGAGCACTTCCTGTTTCGAATTTACTCTGTCCCCTAAAGTGAAGATTATATGACTTAATACAAGGCTGTGCTCAGACTAGTGTTTCACACACGTATTAAGTGCTCAACTGAAATTCACTATTATTATTATCTCAATCCACAAAAAGATGCCACAGTGACCAACATCAGTATGTACCTGGCATATTTGATGCCCGGAGTGATCATTTTATTAATTCATTTATTTTTTCAGAGAAACACTATTTTCTTTTTTAAAGTAGGCTCCACACCCAGCGTGGGGCTTGAACTCACTACTCTGAGATCAAGTCCTGAGCTTGAGATCAAGAGTCAGACACTTTTTTATTTTTTAAAATTTACATCCAAATTAGTTAGCATGTAGTACAACAATGATTTCAGGAGTAGATTCCTTAGTGCCCCTGACCCATTTAGCTCATCCCCCCTCCCACAACCCCTCCAGCGACCCTCAGTTTGTTCTCCATATTTAAGAGTCTCTAATGTTTTGTTCCCCTCCCTGTTTTTATATTCTTTTTGCGTCCCTTCCCTTATGCTCATCTGTTTTGTCTCTTAAAGTCCTCATAAGAGTCAAGTCATATGATTTTTGTCTCTCTGACTAATTTCACTTAGCATAATACCCTCCAGTTCCATCCACGTGGTTGTAAATGGCAAGATTTCATTCTTTTTGACTGCTGAGTAATACTCCATTGTATCTATATACCACATCTTCTTTATCCATTCATCCATCGGTGGACATTTGGGCTCTTTCCATACTTTGGCTGTTGTTGATCGTGCTGCTATAAACATGGGGGTACACGTGTCCCTTTGAAACAGCACACCTGTATCCCTTGGATAAATGCCTAGTAGTGCCATTGCTGGGTCATAGGGTAGTTCTATTTATAGTTTTTTGAGGAACCGCCATACTGTTTTCCAGAGTGGCTGCACCAGCTTGCATTCCCAAGGAGTCAGACACTTAACCAACTAAGCCACCCAGGTGCCCCTTGGAGTGGCCACTTTAAATATCCCTCTCCTTTATCTGACAACACTATTTTCAATAATAATCAGGAAATGATTACTAATAACAGGAAATATTACTAATATTAGTAATACTATTAGCAACAATATTCAGAAAAGAAACGGTGAAAATTTTCTTTTATTGAGCTTTGCATATGAAATCATGCCAGTGAAAGAGGAAAAACATGAAAAATAAGGAAAAATGTTATGGAGAAAAATGGGGGAAAAGTAATGGATTAAGAGTTTTTAACTGCGGGGCACGTGCCTGGTTCAGTTGGTGGAGCGTGAGACTCTTGATCTTGAGGTTGTGGGTTCAAGCCTCATGTTGGATGTAGAGATTGCTTAAAAATAAAATCTTTAAAAAGAAGGGTTTTTAATTGCATTTGTGTATTTTTGAAAGAAAGCTTACTCTTACATGTAGGTTGGTCACAGTCATGAATGATAGCAATATTACAGTTTCTCTTTTGGAACTTTTACTTCTGGAAAGTTGTCCATGACTTTGTCAAAATTGATTTTCTCTGCATATTTATGTTCAGTAGTCCGTTGAGCTAGATTTGTCTTATTTTTGCTCGCAGCTGACTGAAGAGCACTTTTTATTAATTTTAATGTCAAAGGTTTCTCTCGCATGAAACCACAGATATACAAATAGGAAAAGTCTTACACATTAGGACAAGTGTGTCAGAGATTCATAAAAAGCACATTTCAGAATAAATTCAGAAATCGCGATACTGCCTCTTAAAAAAAAAAATCAATCTGCTTGATTTTAAATACCTCCGTATGTGAAACATTTTTACTACAACGTCGTCACCAGAAAATTCAGCATACGTTTTTATCTCATTTGGCAAAATTCTCCCAAGTTTTCCTTCTGGAAAAATCAGAGAACACGGTTGAATGGTAGTGAATGCTGACACTTATTTAATCCATTGCTTTAGAATAAGTCTAGTTCTCGATGAAAACGATCCATTTCTCTTTTAGTTTCTTCTGGTGCTGAGAGAGCTGTCTCTTTTGTCTTCTGTTTAAACACAGGAAAATGTAGGACCTGGACAGTTGGCACACAAACTGTGTCGAAAGTGAGCTCAGTACGGCTCTGAGCTATTTGGAACTTACTGCTAGAACAATGGTTGAGTTTGTGTGTCTGCAGACTATATATCTGGGTGTTTTCTGGTTGCATTTCCATGTAGAAGGCAAAATTTTTAATTTTATTTTTTATTAAAATTTTGTTTAATGTTTATTTATTTTTGAAAGAGAGACAGAGAGCAAGCAGGGGAGGGGCAGACAGAGAGAAGGAGACACAGAATCAGAAGCAGGCTCCAGGCTCTGGGCTGTCAGTGTAGAGCCCAACACGGGGCTCGAACCCGTGACCTGAGCCGAAGTCGGACGCTTAACCGACTGAGCCACCCAGGCACCCCTACTTTTAGTCTTTAATCAAACGTAAACATTAAGGCACTAAGGCAGCCGTGAGTTCCTTGAGGAAGGTCACACTCGGCGTGTTTCGGGGGTCTGTCAGTGTGGGCTGCAAGCTGTAAGGAAATGTAACTGAAATTACATTTTTCTTGCCTTTGTGTCTCTCATCACAAGGAATCACAGCCCCTACCTCCCTGCTCTTTGAGTGTGCCGCTGTCTGACTCTCAGGGCTTGACAAATGTCATTTGTTGTTAAAGCAGTTGCCCGGACCCGGAGGCGCGGAGAGCTGCGTGTCTGCCGTCCGGGCCAATGTGTCTCTCTCTTTAGTCCAGCCCGTGATGCCTCCTGGTCAGTGCCAGCGCTAACCCGTCCGTGTTCCAAATCCGCGAAGAATGAGCGGGCCAGGAGCTTTTCTCCAGTCATGCTGCCCTTAAATCCCTTAAATCTCTGGCTGACTGCTGGAGAAGTGAAAATCCAAAGTGAAACAGGGGCTCCATAATCTGGATACCAAACTGGGGCCTTGGACTCTTGAAACAATAGAAGTTGGTAAGAGGCTGAAAGAGAGTTCCAGGAAAGGCTTTATTGGGGCTTGTGCTCCGACACAAGGGAGGCAGCACGAAGGAGAGAGTCTGCAGGCTGACTGGGCGAGGAGAGGTCAGGGTGAGTTTTTCAAAGAAACTTAGGTGGGGGGGAGGGGACGCCTGGGTGGCTGGCTCATTCAGTTGAATGTCTGGCTCTTGACTTCAGCTCAGGTCATGATCTCACAGTTTGTGAGTTCCAGCCCCACGTCGGGCTCCACGCTGACAGTGCGAAGCCT